CAACTCGCTTTCGAGCGCCACAGCAGGTCGGTCCGCCTGGTCCGCCACGGCACTGAGAGTAAATACATTCGTCTAGAACTTCTTCATCTTCCGTGGTGACAGACTGGGGCACATGGTCAACGTTTACCTGAGGGAAGATCAACAGCAACAGTGAAAAACATACATCTAGACAGATTTTAGGGTGGAAAAATTCTTGGCCAGTTGTATCGATACGATATGAGCTAAACATGTATTTCCGAGAACTACTAAATAAACCGTAAGTGAGAATGAAAAAGTTGCATATGTATCGAAAATTGAGCACATAACTAGATTGTCCTGCCAGAGAGAAGAGAGAAACGGCAAAATCAGATTCCGTTGAGAAATCCAGTGATGGAATTTCTGTATGTACATTGCCCGCAGGAATAGGCATTTATCTGAACTAGTCTGCAAATACAAACCGGAATGCCTGATTAGTAGTGGGATGAAGTACATAAAAACTCAGTGGTCAATGTGGCCCGAACATTCGGCCATCTCCATNTCGATCTAAGGGAATGGTTAATGACATTGTGGTCATAGGGGAAGCCACTGGAATCTGCCTACATAGTCACCGCGCACAGACCCTAGGATACAAAAATAGCTTGTAGTCATGTTTGGAATGTTTCCTTCAGAATGATGGCTCCGTATTGTAGTATATTGTATTGGGCAAGCAACTATGCCTCCAGTTCAGTGACAAGATAGATTGTGCTATACCGTGTAGAGAAAAAGTGAAACAGTTTGAGCAGTTACCGAGTGTTCAAGTGGATTGCGGGTAGCTAAGGTGACCAACAGTCTCTACCAGCCACTGTTGAGGAAGCCGTTCTCACTATCTTTAAATGGCGATGTTCCTCCACGGAAGTGGGAGGAGGAAAATTTAGCGGCAGGAGTGGTAAACGGATCAGCGAACTTCGGTGTAGTTCACTTAGAGAAGTTGAGAAGAAAAGAAGTCCGTGCAGTGGGCAGACCTCCGAAAGCCTCAATATGGTCAAGAGTGAGTGTTTCTGGTTGTGGTTGGTAAACCTTCCCGTGCACCTCGCAAAACGTTCCTATATGATCAGGGTGTCAAACAGACCGCTGAGTAAGGCCTACTCATTGCCTTCCCGTGGCGGAGATGTTTCCCCACCAAAGTGAGGGAATGAAAAGTCAACATCCCGAACTATAACCGGGTTGGTTCACCTAGGGGAGTTGGCTAAATACTCTAATTCCAAACGAACCAATACGACGAACCATACATCTTCATACTCCTGGGTGTGCCACTGGTCAATTGCTTAATTGGTTATCGTGGTTTATTGAGCAACTTGGACGTTTGATACCGTACAAAGGGTTGAAGATCCGATCACCTGGACACCAGCGCCCAATGGACAGCGGTTTTCACACACCGACACATTACCTTGAGCCTCAGGCTTTGGACAGTCGAAGGCTCCTGCTGTGAAATACCCAAAAGAATTCACATGCCTTCGCTTGGATAACCTGGCAGTATTACTCCCACAAACAAATCAAGGAACTTTCATCTTTTTATAAAGATCAGTGTACTGTGATCTGCTTTTCACATGCGTACCTAAGACACACGATATACTTTCCGGTAGCCCAGAGCGAGGAAGGGGTTTTTCTTTGAGAAGCCTAACAGGAGCCTTTGACTCAAAAGGCTGACCCGAACAGTCTGATCTCAGACATGCGCGAACTATAATATAATAATTGTGCAGGGTGGTTTGTACCTCTGCAACGATAGTCCTGCTCAATGGTATATGTCTGAGGAAGGCCAAGAGGTTTAGACTTAAGCAGCTCCATCTGCAATGAGAGTGGAGTTAAATACCTTCCCCTGTTGCTGAATTTTCGTTTTCGTTCTGGAGAGTACACAAGCACGGTCTCAGAACACACAGGACTTCCGTAAATAACAGATAGAAAAACACCTGAAATCAACTGGTGAACTACGGGGGTTTCCGTAGAAATCATTTAGTCTCTGACACAGCAGGTTATGCGGAGGATACACACATCCTCGGTTTCTTCCTAATATATGCGCCCCGCGTCACACGACTCGAACTGATGCATTTTTTTATTACACACGCAGATGTGATGAATGGCAGATGGAGCGAACCCCATAATAACGAGGACCTGCTACTCAGTTATGGAAACCGGCAACCTAAGCCCCGGAACTTGGAGTGGCGAAACACATAAGGCCCCGATAGGTTAGGCGTGGTATTGAACCGAACGACAGCTGTCTACCACCAAAGTTGGGTGGCGGTGGTGGGGCTCAAACCTCGGGCCAAAGGGTCCAAAGCAAGCCGGTGACAACGACTAAACCACTGCGTCATCACCATCCATACGTCTGACAACCCAATTGCGAGCAATTTTTGATTTTGGAACAGAACATTCTGATGTTTTACAGATTTTAATAAATCCCTATTCAACAAAATATCACAGTACACATTTAGTTGCATTATTCAATGAATGAATCATAGAAAACGAGCTCGTACACCACTGTTTTTGGCAATGGTGTGTGCAGACTATTAAAACAGACGGAGGAACGTTTTTCTCGTAAAGATTATTGCACCATGATTTGTTTCGCACACAGTCTGGATTCAGACGTGTGTGAAAATAATAATAAATCCCATTGAAACAAGCACTCATTTGGCTCGGCAATATTTTTTTCTCAACACATTCCAAACAAATAAAACTGCTAAGTTGTAAACACGGATGAATAGAAACATTTCTTTACCATCGACGGTGTTTCCGAGGGAACAGCCACCTCGTTCGTGGGTTCACGATCGGCAGCCAACATTGGACAAGGCGTACCATCTTGTGTCGGTTCTGACTGATTAGACTTGGCTATCCATCGATCCACATCCAAGACTCCTGACTGGGTCAGATGAGTTGGCAACAGCGACGCTGGTCGGGAGTCATCTTTCTGACGATGATTTATCGAGTTAGTGGTCAGTCGGTCATCAGGCACATGTTCAGCAGAGGCAGGAGTCAACCAGATAAGCCAATCCGAAGGAGTTTGACTCGGTGGTGCCACAACAGAACGCGACTGGTCAGAAGCGGAGAGGCCGGGGATTTCACAAAGTTCCAACTAGAATGATGGAATTAGAAACAGGATTAGATTCCAAAGGGGCCTCGGAACTTGTTTGACACAGAACGAATAAATGCATGCATTATTTACAGTTACAGTTACAGTCCATAAGGAATAATGACAAGAGGTAGACAGAATAGGGAAACTGTTTCTGCGTGTGCGCCCGAGGGCAGATATTATCAATCAAACGTTGGAGCATTGAAGAGTCAACTTGAGGGGAGTTATCATGTTG